AAAACTATCCAACGCGTACGCGAGGCAGTCTACTTCTGAACTGCAAAAGTTAACAAGGGCGTATGTCCAGTCCTGCCCAACATGTCAAGTAGTTAATTATATTAATTTCCGCCCGGTCGGTTTCTAAATAGTATTAAATCCGAATTTCCAAATGAAATAATTGGCATCGATTTATTGGGCCCTTTCCCAAAAAAGTCAGTTAAATAAATGTCGCTATCTCCTTGTTAGGTTGATCATTTTAGCAAATAGACCGAAATTGTTCCCTTAAAACGAGCCTCCGCGAAATTAGTTACTGATTCTGTTTAAATAAATATATTTTAAATACGGGGTGCCCCTAAAAGTTATATCGGATAATGGTCCTCAATTTGTAAGTAATATATTTGAAGACATGTGCCAAAAACTGGGCATACGTCATTTAAAAATGGTCCCGTATCGGGCCGCAATCAAATATAGCGGAACGGGTCAATAGAAATATAGTGAAAATTATCCGTAGTTATGTTAAAAATTTTCATAAAAGCTGGGATAACTATGTCAATGAATTTGCTTTCGCCCTTAGGACCGCAAAACATGATACAACGGGCAAAACTCCTGCTGAGTTATTTTAGGCAGAAAGATTATAACGCCGTTAGATAAATTATTTTATGTGCAACAAAGAGCCCCAGAATTTAAAATGGGTGATATAGAAAAACTAATTAAGGAAGCAAAGAAGAATACTGAAGTAGCACAGAGAAAACAAAAATTATATTACGACTTGAAACGACGGGGAGTAACTTATAAAGTAGGGGATGAAGTTTTGAAAATTAAGCATTCACTTTCTTCAGCACCAGAAGATAAGACTGCCAAATGTTTTCCACGATTTTGAAGGACCATATGTTATAGAAAAAATAACTCACGCTTGTAGTAGTGTTTAAAAAGCCAGAAATGGTGAAACCTGCTCCGCAAACATTGATCAAATCAAACCCTACTTCGATCGTAATAAAAATGCAATATTTTCAGATCTTTTGCAGGATCCGGCACGGCAGACACCGCAGGCACAAGCTCCAGAGGTGGAAAAACGACAAGTACAAGGGCAAGCTATTAGAGGCAGGAGCAAGTGAAAGAAAATTTCCCCGCTGAAAAATTGAAGGTAGCAGAAAAAGAAGCCGTTCCACCGTCCAGAAAAGAGAGTTCACGAACACCCACAGAATGAAGAAGGGAGAAGGACGACGTATGCAAAGAGAGCCAGGAGAGAAATGACGACAACTATAACCCGGCTCTAAAACGGAAGATCTACTCATCCGACAGGACTCTCCGCAGCAAATGTCGCCGAACTGCGGAAGGGCCACCAGCGGCGGAGGAAAAGTTACAAGGAAAATTTGAACGGCCAGCAACGAGGTCCAAGCAGGAACACGAAAGAAGTTTCCCGGTTCCGCCAAGACCAGCTGCCATCAAACGGCCAAGACCACAAGCAGAGGAGAAGAAGAAGGTATTCAAGGGTGACCGAACTAGTGAAAAAAGGAAGCTTCCAGAGGAAGGCACTGAAGGGCGAGCCCGTACAAGAAGGAGGATAAATCAAACAACTGTCTGCAATACCTTTAAGGACTGGGCCCAGAAAAGGATGTCTTAATATTACAAAGATAAGTAAAATTTTATGTTACTTTACAAACTTAAGTTAATCTTTCATTCTTACTGCAAGTGGCAGATTTCAAGAAGTTTACCTCATGCGAGGTCTACCTTTATCGCCAAAGGGCGAGAAATGAGTTGTTACCGATTTTGGTATTATGTTTTTCAATTACTCGCGCGTAAAACTAAGTTGATGTATAATAGCGTTGTTGTAAAGACTTAAATATTGTAAAAAGTTATTGTATAAATTTTATTTGAAACATTCTAGCAGGAAAGAAGTTTAGTCTGAAAGATTTTTGAAATGTATTATTTCATGTAGAAAGAATTGGCACTTGCTTTGAAAGAATAGAAGTTAACAATGTACTACTAATGTATGTTTTCAAATGTGTAAAATTAACGGCATGTGATATGTTCTTATATAATGTGAACTGTTATTTTAAATGTTAAGAAATACCGGATATGGTAAAAGTGAATGTTAAATTTTTTTTTTTATTCGTGTGACTGTAAAAAAAGACTAATCATGGTGAATATGTGTTAAAGGTTGAATGATGTAGTTAGGCTCTCTGACGCTACACTTCAGAGTTAGCCACTTTCAGATAGTACCTCAGGGTTTAGAGTTGGAATTACAGTGTTACGAGGTCTTGGCATGTTGCATTTTAACACGTTAGTGTTTTGATTGTAGGAGGAAGTGTGAACACGTAGACAGAAACACATTCGTGTTTGGTGTTCTTTTACAACACATGTCAGAGAGCACGGGGAGAGATAATTAAAATAGTCATGAATGAAATAAGAATGTTAAGAGAAATATACATGTTACTTGCCATTTCATTGTGTAACATTTCATTAAACTAGTTTTCCTTCCAGATCTCTGGAAGGAACCAGATTTGAATAAGAGCTCCTGTTTGGATGCAGTACAGATGAAAAAAATTTGTGTGTCCTGGGAGCTGCTATTGTAAAAACAAATTTCTTTCTTTTAAATTTCTAGTTTCTAGCGAAAAATATTTGTAAAAGATTGGCCTCGCGTTAGATTCTAGAGCTAAAAGTTTTCAACAAGGTCGTTTTAGACCTCAGTTTCAAACTAATTAACTCTGGGCGGGAAGTATGTAAGGATCTAAGTTTTACTAACGTTTATTTATTTTAAATCTTTACTATCACTTCTTATTTTCTACTTCCGGCCAGAATTATAAGCGTTAAGGTTTTTATGCAAAGTTTGTCTGGCGAACGCCAAGTATTTAAGTTGTGGCTTTTTGCCGAGCGAGAGAGAGGAAAGCAGTGAGTCGAAAGCAGGCCGCTTACCTTAGAAGTTTTACGCAGTTGCTTGTTGCCTTCCAGGCCAGAGGTTTTAATCCTCTTGATAAGTTTTAAACGTATTGTAGTGTTCACAGTTCTCTGTTCTACATACGGCTTCCTGTTAATATAAGGCCAATCTTCCACGTGTATTATTTTAAAGTTAAATTAGAGTTTAGTTCTATTTTTATATTTTTACGTTAGACCCCAAGTAGCGGGTCTGTGTATTCCGAAGTACGGAAGTTATTGTAAATAGAGGAAAATAAAGGGTTTTGTATACCCTTCTTGTGTATCCTGTCTACTTCCCACAATTAGTGAACATAGCTTTAGTAAGCTCTCTGTTCCGAGTCAGGTCCTTGCATGTTCCCGAAGAAGGTAAGAAGGAACATTGAACCTGATAATTTAAATAAAAGCAAAAATCCTGAAAATATTCTACGCTTAATTACCTACTGAATACGAATTATTGCACTGTCTACAGTGACGTTTTTCATATTTATTGAGCTGTCTAGAAATATACTTCCAATTCCCTATTTCTTTATTTATTAATTACTGCTTTAATTAGCACAGTTTATTACCATTTATCATATCAATATAAAACCAAAAGTATATTTCAAAATTATCACACTTAAATGCCAAATATGTGCATATTATTATTACAGTGGAGTCCAAGAAGTATTTGATATAAATTTAGAGAACTTTTGACACTGAGTGGAGTAATTCAGATTATGTTTCTTTTATCACTTAGGTGGAGTAATCCAGTGAGTGGAGTAATCCAGAATATGCCCAAGCAATGGGCATAATATATACGTATAATTTGTAAAGTAATGTGAGAAAATATTTAAAATTGATTGTGAATGTAATAAGATCTATGAATAAATTTACAAGGAAAATGCCTTGCTTTTTTAATCATAGTCGCTATAATTATCGATCATACTTGAATCATCAATGATAGTTGTGGTAGATAATCCTGGCTTCACAGTAAGTCCCTGCAAAAGGTTTAAACAGAAGGTTTCATGCTCATTTGTTTTGCTAAATACTGTGGAAATAATTTCTCCTTCTTCATCAATGCAGAAACAGTAGTTCCTTTCAAAGCACTGGGCAAGGATGTAATTTCCATAACTTTTGCAGTTGAATGAAGGGTACTGGGAATGGGAAGACAAACTTTCGATGTCACGAGCACAGTCTGCGGGAAGAAAAAGAATTCTTGAGATTATTATCTACTGAGAAGAATTCTGACAAACTCATTGGACTGGATATATTTAATTTTTCTTTTTCTTTTAAATACTTAAAGTTTCTTTTTCAAGTTCTAAGACACTTTAAAATAATCTTATAAAACTGCAAATATATTGTATTCAAACAGTGTTTGCTGCGCATTTCACGTAAATCCGTTACATTGCATATGCGTAATATTTTGAAAATTGAAACAATTGTAATATTTAGCCATACCAAAGAAATAAACACTGATCTTTACGGGGTGCTATATTTATGAGTGGGCCGCATGCTTAAGTGCACACAGTTCTAGGCACATTTTTGTTGTTCTCTTAATCCTGTGATTATTCATTTATGTGTAAGAGCTCGATAAACCTGAATGATGTATTGCTTTATTTCCAATTTTTCGCTAAAATTGCTGTGTTGTTGGAATTTAAATTAAATCGCGATGCTGAAGTCTAAATTTAAGGTATCCGATTGGCAGTTGTTTTAAGGAATACTTTTAGCAGATCCCCAAAATATGATTTTCTGCATGCTGCGGTAATAAACTTAAGGTGAATGCAATTTTATATTCAGTGTTAAGTACTGTGAATGCGATTACAATCAACACAATTTTATATCCAGTGTTACGTATTAGGGAAAAAAAATCTTCAGCAAGTTCCGTCTTTGTTAACAAGTACAATCTCATGGATAAGATGTAATACAATATATATGGGATGATACAATTTAGTTTGGCAGTCGCGAACTTTTCAAGAATCCCCAAATCACTTGATATTCCAAATATATCTTTATTACTTGTTGCACCCCACAATTTTGATGATGGCGCATTACATTTTTAACCAAAGCAGAAAAGCAAAAGCCGTTCTTCAGCCAGCAAGCACAAGCAGAGAAAGAGGGTGGGGTAGGGTTGCAACAATATTTATAGTAAAATTTTTCGTTAATCTGACTTTTTCGTTAATCTGATTGGCTAAAACGTATAGGCAATGCAGAAGTTTCAAGATGGCATAATGCGGAAAACGTTTTCAGATATGACGCAGTTTAGAGAAAGTTATTACTAGAGACAAAGTACGCAAATTAAAAATGTGCAATTAAGAGGCATTTTAAATTATAATTTTGATTTGCATTTTTTTATCTTACATATAAAGATATGTAAAGATTTGTAAATTTTGTAATTACTGTAATTTTTATATATGATGTAAATTACTTGTATCTTCTCGCATTCTGTTCTTTTACTAACAAATGGGCTTATTTCAAATTTCTAAGACTAGTAAACACCCCTCTGTTAGTGAGGATGTCCTTTTCTTTGAACAATTAAGACCATTATCCCGAAATAAATTAATATCTTCTGTTTGATCAAATTCTAAAAGACAAATCTAACTAGGCAGCAAGTTTCTCTCGTCAAATTTATGGTAGCACGCATATCAATTCATTTTTCCGCCTTTCAAAAACAGCATTTTTTAGATTTATCTTAACATCAAGTTATTACGGACCTAAACGCCAGTAATATGGGGCTTCGCTTAGATCTATTCTGTATAGGATCAAAAGATGATAACGCAATTTTTCTATGCTCATGAACATTTTATTCCATGCGAGTGCTTTGTCTCTTTCCAGATGTTAATCTGAGAGACAAGCAATGCATTCGTAACGTAAAAAAAAAAAAAAAAAAAAAAAAAAAAAAAAAAAAAAAAAAAAAGAATTTCTACATTCTCTAATGTGGAATGTTAAATCTAAGGGGAAGTATTTTTATCGTTGCTTCTCGTAATTTAGTTTTAATAGGCAGCAGAATCTTTCGGTGATTTACGCGTCTCCTGTATAACTGGATTAAACATAACTGGCATTTGGTGATCAGGATTATTTCAACATATTATTAGGGAGTCATTATCAGCCATTTAAAATATCGTTGTTCTATTTTTTGAAATAATTTTTGGAGTTATTTTAACAGTATTGTGTTATGCTGAAAGAAGTTTTGTTTGCGGATATCCGATCTTTTAGACATATAATAAAGTCGACACATAGTTATTAGTATAAAGCAATGACTAATGTTATAGGTTCTAAATAAGAGTTTATCATTTTAATAATAGGGTATTTAAAGTAAACTTACTGCATGTCATTTCAGTTTTCAATGTTTCATGTTGTTCCACTGCAATAAAGTAGCTTCCGATGCCTACTCCGCTTCTATCTGTGCAAACGCAACTGAAATATTTAAGATTACTTAGCGAAAACAAAATCAGAGTGCATTCACAGAAGGAATAAACAAAATCATACATTCCAATACTCAACTAAAAAATAAGCATATCAGTTTCAGTCTATTGAAGATGAATATTGAATTTATTACTTGGTTGTATCGCACTGCTTTGAATAATATGTTCCATCGGGATCACATCTGATACTTTGCAATTCCTTGACATCAATTCCTTTCAAGTGAAACTGATAGCGTAACTTCCGGGATCTTTGAAGCTCTTTCTCACAGGGTCTAAGATAGTGCTTGTTGATATTAGTGTCACGGCCTAAGAAAATGATAATCGATCAAATCCTGCAAAAAATGACATTTTTCGGGAATATTGAACCCAAACTAAATATAAGATTTTAAAAATGGTAAATTATTTTAATTTCAGATATTTCTTTATTTTCATACTGCATAAATTTCATTGTCTCAATGAACAACAGAGAAAACTGAAGTTTACCTAAAAGCTCTATTTCATTTCTCAAAATTATTAAAATTTTTTTGTAAATAAGTTAAGAAGCGATCTCATTGTTTTTTCATGAATTAGAAGCATATTTGCCAAAAACGACCATTTCCCAAAATTTCCTACCGAGCATACAATTTGACATTTCTGTAAATTTCAGGTATTGTCATTTCATTAAATTCAAAGACTTTTTGAAATTTCATAAAATATTACTGGTAACACATGTCGTTTATTATACAAAGTTTGATATAAATTACATATATATTTTAATTAAAAGAGAAATTCCTTCACAATGAGTGTTCCTTACTAAAGTTGCAGAAATTATTTTATATCATCAGTCAACCCATGGGCTACTATAAACATAAATCTGATGGGTATTGAAAAGTATTATGGATGGTCAGTGTAAAGAGGGATAAAAAGTAAATTATGTCTTACTTTAATTCATTTGTATTTTATGTGTTAATACAATTTTTGTATTAACACAGATTTGTTAAAACTTTTATGTATTCATTTTTAACAATTTGATATTATTTACTAATTAGCCTGAAGTTCTAACTAAAGCCTTTATTGAAATCTGTAATTACACCTGTAATTTGTAATTAAAAATAATAAACAGGAACGTTACACTTGATGTAAGGGAAAACACTGATCAGCAAACATAATTAAAGCTAACTTAACTTTTGGTGTTACAATAAACTAGAGTACTGGAGAGAAATGCGAGTGTACGACGCAAATAATTATTTTATCAAAGGCTTTAGGACATCTGCTTTTATCTTCAGAATGTATAGATTGTCATGATACATATTGAAACATGTCAAGATTCATTAAAGTGAACAATCTGGTTCTAGTTGAGCATAAATCATACAACTAATATTAGATGCAGATTTGATGAAGTTCCCGAAATTCAAGGGCTTTCATTATAAAGTATTGAATAAGATTAAAAAAGGTCCTTGCTGATATTTTTCTTAAGCGTGTATGAAAAACTCCATATTCCGATATTAATATCTCAAGAGATATTTCTCTTACCTAAGTAGGAATTATGATCGAATTACAGGTGAAATAAGGCAACTGATACTCAAATATGGCAGAAGTATCCAAGTAAGTTTTTTATAGCTGTGATAGATATTAGAATCTTCGTATTCTGTAATTTATTATTATTGCCAGAGAACGAAGATATCATGCTATGTACTAAATTTACTTTAAACTCATTTACATACTTCAGTTTAATTTCAATTTTGTAAGAATATTACACGAAAATTTATTTCTGCTAATGTTTCCGTTGAAGGAAATAAACATCTTGGGGGGGGAATCAAAGAATCCCAAACCAATACTTCCATAACAATAAAACCTTACGTGAAATAATTCAAATAACAATGCTGAAATGAACTACAATTTCTTGCTATGCTCAGTTTTTATCGACGTTTCTTACCTCATGCTGCGACCAAAGAAGCACCTCTAAATTCTTTTTTGGTTGGAAGCAGAAAAAACGATAAACGTGTTATAACCTGGACCACAGAATCTCGCAAAACGTCCCAAAAATGCGAAAATGATTTAATTTCGGTAACCAATTTACATTATCCTTCAGCATCTAAACCATTATCACTCTACGTTGACGCATCAACAACAGGTATAGGAGCAGTTTTACAACAGAAAGATCAAGAATTACGGAGACCACTTTCATATTTTTCTAAAAAAACTCTTACGAGCACAAATCAGATACTGCACTTACGATCGCGAATTATTAGGAATTTATGAAGCTGTCAAATATTTTCGACATATGCTAGAGGGACGCGTTTTCATGATCTTCACAGATCACAAACCTTTAACTTATGCTTTTCAACAGCGTTAGGATAAAGCTTCTCCTCGTCAAATGAGACACCTAGACTTCATAGGGCAATTTTCAACAGATATCCGTTATATTGAGGGTTCGCAAAATATTGTTGCAGACACCTTGTCTCGTATTGAAGAACAAGCCGTTCCTTCGCCAATAAACTTTGCTGCCTTAGAGAATGAACAACACCGGGATTCAGAACTACAAACCCTCTTGAAAAGCAAATCTTCCACCAATCTCAACTTGCACCCTATGAAGCTGTCAGCTGGAAAAATCACTTTATTGTGATGTTCAGGATTCAAGATTTCGACCTTATGTTCCCTCCGGGTTTCGTCGTGCTATTTTTAATCAGTTACATCGTCTGTCACATCCTGGCATCAAGGCTTCGAGGAAACTGATGCAGCAACGTTTCGTATGACCTAGCATGCAAAAGGACATAGCCAACTGGACACGTTCGTGCTTGGATTGCCAAAGATCTAAAATTTTCAGACACACCGCCGCCAGCCATCTTAAAAATTTTAATTTGCCCTCATATCGCTTCAATCACGTGCACCTCGACTTGGTCGGGGGGCATTGACGCATTCTAATTGATATTCCTATATTCTTACTTGCATTGATCGATTTACTCGCTGGCCCGAAGCCGTTCCTTTGGTAGATATTTCAGCTGATACGGTGGCAAAGGCATTTTACACCATTTGGATTTCTCAATTTGGAGTTCCGGAGCAGATTTCTACTGACCAGGGGCGTCAGTTCGAGTCCCAACTCTTCACGTCTCTAACTAGGTATTTGGGCACTTACAAAGTGAGAACCAGCCCCTACCATCCAAGTTCCAATGGAATTGTCCAGAGATTTCATCGCTCCTTAAAACAATCAATTCGATGCCACACTGCATTATAGTGGACTGATGTGGTATCTACTGTACTTCCAGCTCTTCGATCAGCGTTAAAAGGGGATCTCAATGCCTCTTCTGCCGAACTGGTATATGGTACTAATCTCCGTTTGCCTGGGGATTTCCTACATTCAGTCAATCCATACCTGCAACGTATATCCTGTTACATTCGTGCATCAGCTTAGAAAATTGCGACCAGTTCCTGCCAACGCTCATTGCAAACAAATTGTGTTCGTGCATAAAGAACTTAGAAACTCATCTCATGTTCTTCTCAGATGTGATGCTTCAAAGCATTCTCTCGCACCACAATTTTCAGGGCCACATCAAGTGCTAGCTGGAAAAAACAAAAAAAAAAAAAAAAAAAAAAAAAAAAAAAAAACATTTAAAATTTTGGTCAACGAAAAAGAAGTCGTCGTTAGTATCGAGCATCATAAGCCGGCATTTATCTACACACCAGAAGCCACTGGAGCGAATGCGTCTTCACCATCGCAAATTCCATCTCAAGATCCACATTTATCTCCAACGGACTTCAGTGCAAACTGTTCCAAGCCTTCGACAGAAACCACGACTTCCGACTTATCAGATGCTATGACAAGAACACGCTCGGGTCGTAGAGTTCGCATCAACCCAAAGTATTTGTAAGGAATCATTAGCACTGGAGGGGGAGGTACTGTGGCGACCTGCCTACTACAACTCAACGCTGCCAGTCTGGTAACTCATAGCAACGAAAAACAAAACAATCATTATTCTATTGTTAATATTTTATTAACGATCTGTTTTTGTTATCCTAGTTACCTGTTCAGCTACTCTTTATTTTATTATTGTTCAAAACGGCATCTTATACAAATTAAATTATTTTTATTTTTATTATGTTAAAAGCAGCGTGTAATTATCTGTCTCGAAAATTGTACTACCATACTAAGTATCAGCTTGCATCTGAGCTAAAGTTAGATCATACTACTCATAGATTAACTCTTTATACGTAGCATATTTTATAGAATAAGTAGTTCACAATTCTGGAATTACAGTTATTTCTCTTTATAATGCATGTACCTTACGCATGCAGCATGCTGTTCTAGTTGGGGGGGGACTGACTGTATGTTCCTCGATATTTTTTTAAAATCAGAGAGTAGTTGATCCTAATCAAGTTAAGAAAGTAATATTACGTACATATGTGGGTACGAAATTCTGATCTGAAAATAACATTCATCGTCAAAACTCTTAAGTTGCATCAAAAAGTATATGCTTTACAGATAATTTTAAGTAAAACAGATGAATTGTCATATGAAAGAGAGAAAGAGAAATATCGTCGGATAAATTAAAGGGTACCGCCTTGTTAAAATATGCAAATGATAGGAAAAAGGGTAGAAATGGTGAAGTGGTATAAAAAAATATATATGAAATTTGATTAAAGGTAATTTCAGTCATATTTTTCTTCCAAAGCAGAAAACACCTGAAGCTTTCACTAATTTATTACGCAAGTAAAGTAGAACGATTACAATTGCTCGGATAATTTTTTTTAAATCTTTGTGTAACTAAAAGCATCAGGATTTAAGTTCTTATTCATATTTAAGAAACAGACAGAAAGACCTGATTTTCTCATTTTTTTCTGATTTTCTGTTGAATGAGAATGAATTTCCATCAACAAAACTTTCTACGTTTTTCTTCATCCTCATTGGCGAAGCTTGAAGAAGTAGTACAATAGAATGATTTCTTGCCACATTTTCGCTTTACAATTGAATAACGGCTGTAATTGTTACGTAAGTTATCAAAGCATTCTTTTCCAAAGGGTTCATTCTTTTCTGTTGTTAATCGCAATCATAATTAGTTTGCTTTGCACCTTTTCTTTTTTGATTGATTTACTTTATAGCTGACCTAGGAAAACCTAGGAAACATTTTGGTTAACATGGCTGTCATTCAGAACTTATTCCTCAAAATTAACAGCTTTTTAATAATGATGATGATAATAATAATAATAATAATAATAATAATAATAATAATAATAATAAAAGGTATTTCTACCGCTTTCCTAGCGTGCATTCGTGATGTAGTGGTTCTGTACGCTGGGTCGGTCTTTCAGAGGACCGTGGTTAGATTCCCGGCGAAGGAGTTGCATATTTTTCATCTCTCCTGCTTCCAAAATATCTAATGCCTCTACAATAATAATAATAATAATATATTTTTTATATAATTTTTAATAAGATTAAACTCAATTTGACTTGCACCGATCTCTAATATAGCCTTAGAGACTACCTAACAAACTTTTCATTTTGCCTATCATAACCAAATCTTAAATGAACATAACAATGTAAAACAACAAAACAATTTATTTTAAACTTCCATTTAATGTACAGAACCAAAATTATTAACAAAATTAATTTTTTTTGGTGAAATTGGCGAATAACAATGATTGAAAGTATTTACAAGACAAAATTTAAATTAAAATCTTAAAAAACCGGCGTTGCTATTGCACGACTACTAACTTAAGTTTCAATGAAAGACAACAAAATTTAGAAACAGAGCTCAAGGAGGACATAGGAGTATCATTAAAGTCGGGCCGGCTGATGTTGCCAAACTTCTATACATTCTCTTTCTTATTTAAAGCTCTCTTCATCTATGCAGTTTTGTTGAGTTGACAAAACAGGAGATGTGCAAAAAAGATTTTAGCGTAAGAAATTACGTATTAATTAAAACAAACTTTACATTGTTACTTCTATGTTTTCCGTAAATTTGTACCATTTTTACGTTGTTGTTTTGTTGAATTTTGAGATGTGCAGAATAATTTCGACAAGTTTTTGCTTATTTATCTGTTTTGTCTGCTTACCGTGGTACGTTGCATGAAATACAGTCTAATATAAAAATTATGTATAACTCGGATCACCGAAATAACAACAAGATATTAAGCGGGAAGGTTATGCTTTAAATACAAAACGACTAAAGATAAGAAAAGTAATCTGAGATGGATCTTTAGGATCATAAAGTAAATCAAGAGATTTCTTTGAAATTATTTTGAAAGCTAAGCTCATATTTCTTTCTAAATAACTGTAACTCCAAAATAAAAATTTAATATTGAGAGCAGTAAATAACAGCTGAGAAATTTCAGAGCATTTTTTCTTACAAAATAGAAAAACCATTGATTTTCATTTGTCTGTTGTGGTTGAACACCACTTCCACAGTAAATAGAGGTTGTGAAAAATTTCCTGTGAATTTTTGGGAAATATAAAACCCAGAATAATAACGATTTAAATTCATACGGATATGAAATGGATGTATAAGTGTAACTGGAATTTGGAAAAACACAATTTTCGTAGCATGATATAATGTATTTTCAGAAAGAAAAAAGAGTGTTTGTGTTACATCATGTAGATAGTAATATTTCCTTTAGTCACTTAAGAAAATTTGTTTATTATACACGCATAAAAGACCACCTCAAACGTGCCACGAAAAGGTATATTTTCAGAAAAATATATTTGCGTACGATTTTCGTAAACTTCTGTCAGGAGCATTTTTGAACATAAATGCAAATTATTTAATAAAGTATAGAGCAAACACGTAACAGATGTATTTAGAAATCATGTGAAATAGTGTAGTTTCAAATAGCACTTTTATATGATCGTGAAGAAGTTTTTTTAAATATTTTATAGTGTAATCAAGAGAGAAAAATAAAAGTAAGTGGAGTTTTTTGAAAAAATATTTTCATGTGTAGGGAAAGTAGCAACAATTTGTAAATTTCGTAGAGAAAATACACTTTCGAAATAAGTTTTAATTTCGGCTGCCTTAGTGAATTTAACAAAAGAAAATGGGCTGGTCAGAATTGTTGATATAAGAAGCAGGGTACATACTCTCACGAAAGGAGAAGAAATTATGTTCATAAGCGATTGTGTAAAGTTTCGTCGATAAGAAACAGGTTTTAACTGGATTAAACAATTTGATAGCAAGCACAGAGATAAATCTAATAAAGTTCAAGCTACAAGTTATTTAATATTCTTTAAATATTTAAGAGATTTAAAGATTTATTCTCAATTTCTACCGTAAAAGTTTGGATGCGCTAGGACCAGAACCATAAGCTTGAGCTATGAAGTAGAAACTGGTTATAACTTAGAGAAATAAGCAATGAAATTAAAATAGTATTCCCAGAATTTTATCGACAAATTTTTAGCAGATTACGTTAGGTTAGCTTATTTGAATAAGGTAAAACTAAGAAAGCTATCTTGTCAGGACTTGTGTTTCTCTTGATTTGCTTTGGAAACATGATGTGTCCTGAATAGGAACAGGGAGCTTATTCAAGCTATGTTCAAGATTTGTGAGTAACAGACGACACAAGCAGGAAGGGTATACGAAACCCTTTATTTTCTATACTTTTACAGGTACTCCCGAACTTCGGGATACAGAGACCAACCACTTGTAGTCTGAACGTAAGAATATAAAACTACTAACTAAAACTCTAACTAAAAGCTAACTTTGAATTAGTATACAAATGCCTAGCACTAAGACTGGCCTTTATTTAAAAGAGTACGTATGTAGTACGCCGAGCTGCTGAAACTACAATACGTTTTCAAATATCAAGAGGGCTAAACCTCTTGCCTTAAAGGCAACCAGCAACCGAGTGAAAACTCGTAAAACTGCAGTGGCAAGCGGCTTGCTTCCTAAATTTCCTCATCTCTCTCTAACTCTTGGCAAAAAGCCACAACTTAAATACTTGGGCGTTAGCAAGATAATTTGCGTAAACAAAAGCATTTAATTCTGGCCGGAAGAAAATAAGAAGTGATAGTACAGTTTTAAAATAAAATAAACGTTAGTAAAACTTAGAATCCTTACAATCTGCCTAGGAGAAGGGATGCTTTCGTGGAGGACTTTCTGAGGCAAACTGATTCGTATTCACGTCACACATGGGAAAATCCCCGAAAACCATTCACGCAACCAGGTTCGAACTACCGGCAACTGGTAAGGCTATTTCTAATAGAAAATTCAACAAGTGGCCCGTCAGAGGAATTTAGTTGCATTGGATATGTCCTGAGAATCATGAAAGATTTCTCAATAAGAATACGATTTTTTAAATGGCTTCAGAAAAGCCATGGCTGTTGAATTATATTTGCTTTCTGCAACCATGTAGTTTAGAGCTTTGATTGCAGTATCTGATGTTGTGATTTGATAATTTACGGCTGTTGTGTCGAAACTTTCGACAGATGTTAAAATCGGAATTTCGTACTGTTACGAAGATTTTACGGTATAAGTTTACAAGTTATAACAAAAATTAGGAAACATACTTACCACAAGGAAGTTTATCTAAGTGTGTTATTTTGACTATTCTACTTTCCACTTGCCCTGTGTTGAGATTTGCGCAGTAACAAAGATCATCAATGCACTGCAGTCTGTCGAAATTTCCATCGGAAGTACAGTGTTCCTGAGGTTTCGTCATGAAAGCTTCGTTCTGTTTCATCAGTTTATCCACGTGCCTTGAACATCCTAAAATAGTTTTATAAAAATTGTAGTTATATAAACATGTCAGGTGAACTTTGAAGATAAGTCATGTGAGTGCACCATTATAATGCAATCACTTATAACATAGCTTACACACTACAGATGACATGGAATCGACTAAATATTCAACTCCTTATATTTCTGTAGTAGCAAACAGTTTCTTTTCATCCTTTTCAACGGCTTGCTGATTAATAGTCACAGGCTATGTTGTGTAAAGTATTAAAAAACCACGCAGAGGTGAAAAATGAAAATAAAAACGTAAATAATTTATATATATATTTTGTATTACTCCGTAACATGTTTTGTAAAAGACTATTAATAGTTCTTTAGGTTATCCTGAAATTACAGGACGAAGTCGCACGTATGTCCGGAAAAGAACTATAAAGTAAAAAGAGGGAGACTGGTCGAAACTAAGTGTCTGAGGATGAAGAGAAATTCTGAACACAGTTGCTAAAGGAAACACACTGAAAGAAATCAAGTTGAATTCCAATGTAAGGGGCACTAAACATGCTTTAAAAAATTCCGTAAACACTGGGAAGCGTATTTATTCCCAAAATGAAGTGTCATCAGGAAGGGTAATTTTAACGATAGAGTAACATGAAAGAATCCATTCATGAGTTTTCAAATTAAAGAAAGCATTTAGAATTTGATAAATCGCATCAATTACAGACACAGAATGATTGAAGAGAGTTTAATTTCAGTGACGAACGCAAATTAAATACATGTCGTAGATATGATAGCAAATAACATGCAACAAAATAGTAACATTTCGTAATTATCAGAAACAGAAGAAAATGTTTTATGTATTCAGTTTTTTTAAGCAAAAAGGCTGAGAAAAGATAGTTTAAATGTTACACTTAGTTTTAATTTTCAAGGATTTTCCTTTCAGTTTTCTGCATTATTATCAGAAATGAAATTATTCATTAAGTATATGAAATGAAAGCACCATCTTCGTATTTATTAGAAGTTACTTATTTGTTTTGAAAATTACATTTATCAATAAAACGTTGTGTGTATTCTGAATTTTTTGGAGTCACTGTGTGAGATTTTGTCTTAATTAATTATTCTGATTTGAGATTTCACTTTAAATTCTTCCTTCCGTAGTCCTCATCAGAATGCAAATTGGTTGTTGTGTATTTAAGCATAGAATTTGAATATTGTATATTTAGAGCTGATGGCAGCCTCGCCTTGTAGTACGTACTATCGTCAGCTCTGTAAAGCTCTGTAATCTGCTTTCACTATCTTGCTAACCGAGATTTAAATACGCGCCGTCAATTACTTAAGCCGGTTTGAGTAGTGAATTTTGTGTGTAGCCTAAGACTACGTTGTCTAAATTTAAATTTAAAGTTCATCTTATGTTTTTTAAATACCCGCTCGTACAGCACGTTCATCTGTACATTAGTAATACCTTTTGCTAATTTAAAGAATTCAATCAAAAGGTTAATTTAAACTTTCTAAGACTTGCCATTTGAATTCAGGCTGGAGCAATAAGTCACTTATCAGTTTAGTAGGCTCTGAAGGATCCTGAGTTAAGATTCTAGGCATAGATTCTAGGCATAGATTCTAGGCTAATGCCCAGCTCTCTCACGAACAATGCCGGGAGAAAACGCAACTTTTAATCTGCGCCTCCTCCAAGACTCCAAGGTCCTGCAGCATCAGAAAGTCTAATGGAAGGATTCGTATTTAATCGTGCATACTATTCTAGCATTGATGGAACCATCTAGTAGTTTCTGTGGTAGAAATTTGGTGTTTACGTTTTTAGAAAGTCTAGAATCGTATTTTTTTATTATACTCGGTTGAAGAAGTACAAAAGGTAGCTACAGCAACCGCTGAGCTACGAGGTCAAATACTGAGTTTGTATAAAGTGATCGGAAAGTACCTCCTAGGTGAACCAGGTAGTGAGAATTAAAAGTTTGATTATATAAAACTGCATTTTTCAGAGCATGTGGTTAAGGTACGTTAAAGATAGGGTCAAATTGGAAGCAGAACTTTATGGTGCTAGACGAACACAGATGAGTTAATTGATTTTATTCTAGGAAAAGTTCAGGCGGTGAACTTGTGGTATGGAAAAAAACACCTGATACAGGAGTTATTGAGATTATATTACCTAGGATACTGCCACATATAATTCACTGCAGTATTCCCATTTATACACAATGTAGAGGGCGATACTCGTATCTTCTGTAAGCACATGCACTGGAATGCTAATCATTTGCATATCCCAACATTTTTTACGCAAATCTGACATTGTTTTAATGCCTCCTTCATGGTGTAGCAATTTTAATGTCTACCAGTCTATTTAGCTCCTTTTCATAGAAAGCGAAGAAACTTATGCTTTGATTTTCCCAAATAACAAGGTTATCAGTACTTTAGTTCATTTAAGCCAGGTATTCCATCACAGCTTTATTCCTGTATCAACCCTTTTCAAAAGAATGTTTTTCTTCATGGACCTTTTTGCATTTTTCTTTGTACAAGTAATATACAACATAGTAGTGCGGAAGGGGTGAAATAGCAGTTAGCTTAAAGTAATTAACATATCTAATTACTGATATCTAATCTATCTAATTAACATATTTAATTACTGTTATACAAGACGATGTTTGTAATTAGCATGACTATGTTTATGCATAAACCTTGTATGCCCATATTATATTTATATATGGAAGAAATAATCCCTTCTGCTAGGATGACTATTAACATTGTGAGACTTTTATAACAAAGTCAGGTCAACGGTTATCCCCGGCGGCGCTCATTTAGCATCTGGTCTTCTTGTCAAATGTAAAGGGTACACCTACGTACTGATGAAGTAATTACCATTTGAGCATAACTTCTGGTAACAAGTTTCAAATGCCGGGATGGGTGAAAGAATAAGAGCAAGATTTAGCTTGTAATTCACTAGTTTTTCTTTCTTCGTACTTTTTTTGTTGTGTTTTTCTGTGTTCCCGAGTTTTACATTTTTCTGTTTCACTTATTGCTTAAAAATTTTATATGTTTAAAAAATATTAGTCATTAAAAACTATATTAAATAATCATTTTGTATATTTACTCTCATATGTATTTTCTAAGCCTTTTTCCGTACTTTATTGATATGGCTTTACATCAATAAATAGCTAATGATCTATTTTATCAATAAACGTTTTTGTAATCAATAACATCCTGATTATGCAGATTAATTACTGATATACTAATATTCGATTATCGATCCCCAGTGAAACTCTTGGTCATCATCGATCACCAGGAGCAGTCTATACTGACCCCGCTGAGAGCCCTTAATTTAAGCAGTTTTCTGAAAGACTTTGGAATCTTTCTAGTTTCTTATTTTTGTGTCAGTATAAAACTGAGGACGTTCCTTGGATGGATGGAAGCTAGTTTTCCGTAATTAATCTTCTAAAAAATAAGGAACCATAGTGGGCAACAGAAAGGAAGAAGGTATTCTAATAAAATATTAATCTAAAGGCCAAAATATTTGCGCATTTTCTGATGAATTCTCTTACACTGATTATTGTTTTGGCTAGAGGCAATAAATCCAACGAAAATCCAGCTAAATATAACTTTATATGGCATATGATAGCTATCGATCGCAGCGCGTTTATGATATATTTGCATTCCGTAATGGCTTTCGGTTATATTTATTCAGATATTTACTCTCTGTGATGGCTGTTGAACAGGACTATGTCTCGAATCATCACGCTGGCAGATAGCGACATTACCAGTAGGAAATAGATTCATGCTGGAAAAGAAATTAGAAGATAGAAATCAGAAAATAGTATTTAATATGAAGAATTCGTCTACTAAACATCGACTCTCTGCATTTCCATAAGTTTAAGTTAAGACGCTCTGCATTTCCATAAGTTTTTATTTATGTCCTTATTTTGCATAACGTTCGAAACATAACTTCTAGCTTTGAAATTTATTATAAACAAACATATTTATTACATGCAAAGTATAATTCATTTTCTTTTCTTATTATTTGGTTTGACAAAATTAGTTGTCCATGATGGTACATTAAATCTATGGCTGAAATCTTCATAGCAGTTTGAGTGGCAACGTTCTTTTTGCTGCGCAGTGTGCGTATGTGCTCGCCGTAGCCATGAGTATAAAAACTTAAGCTTTTTCGCCGAGGCTTACTCCTCACCTTCCTTTGCCTGTTCATTGCCGATGTCTGGCGTCGGCTCGTGTGTGTTAATGTTAAATATTTAACCTTTTTCGAAATGTGATTTCCTTTCCTAAATGTTTCATAAAGTTGTTTTTAACTGTTAGCTGAAGTTTTATGATTCACAGGCCTTTCTGATACCTTCTGATGGAGTCTAATGGCTATAAACCATAGCCATAAATATTCTAATGTGAATATATTAATTTGATAGTTTCTTAGTCTAGTAAAATCAGAGAAAATATTTAGCACACATGTCCTAATAATTTTTTATATGACGGAAAAATTATTTTAAGAACTCAAAAATAAAAATACAAAAAAGCTTTTTTGTAGTATTAGAAAAAGTATTTTTAATATAACAGAAAATTTATTTATTTAACAAGTTGATTATTTTAATGTATTTATTGTTTTTTTATAATATTTATCCATTTACAGTCCTATTGTATATTTATTTAATTTGTTAGTGGTATAAGCCTCGTGGTATACTTTATAGAACACAAGGCGTTAAAATTAGAGTTCACACACACACAGGGAAAAAAAAAGGCAGATATTAAAGAAATCATATTTAAAGTGATTAAATTACTTATTTTCAGGGTTATCTTTTGAAAATAAGTATTTTAATGGCTTTACACATATAGTTTGCCCAAAAGGTTCGTCGACTAATGTTAATTCTATACTTTTGTCAACTCCAGTGCGGCGCCAAAAAGTGGGAACTTTATCCGGGATGATCTTTACCTTCAATAAAAGAAGGTTTTGTTAAATACGTGTAATAATATAACAACATTTTTTGTACAGTTTTTTCCATGTGTTTGTATGTTTGTGATTGTATTTTGTGCATGCATAGTCTAGATGAAGAACACTGTGTTCATGGAGTAGCTATTTAACATGAAATTACTTGTCGAATTTTGGAAAAAAAAAAAAAAAGGAACAGAAATTCACAAAATGTTAAAATGAATATATATAGAATCTACGATGCAGCGTTTAGTGCCGTTCAGTCCTTTATCTTGGGGTGATCCTCAGTAAAACTCTATCATGGTACCCACACATAACATATATCCTTAAAACGTTTCGAGTTAGTAAAGTCACACTTCACCCCTTAATTTCTCGAAACAGTGTACTTTCAGTAGACAACAAGTTGCTTATTTATAAAACCGTATTGCGTCCCATACTATGCTATGCTTGCCCGGTCTGGGCATATTCATGCAAATCTTATAGAAAAAGATTGCAACAGGCACCAAAATTGTGTCCTAAGACAGATTTCCAATTCGCCTTGGTACGTTCGAAATCAAAGAATTGAGTATAGAACAACTTAAGTGTTTTTACTGCCGGCTCGCCCGGAACTTTTATGCCAACCTTGTTAATATCAACAACCTAGTTATAAGGATTTACGATTACGACTTTAATGACCCAAATAATAGTAAACGTAGTAAAAATAAAAGTTGACCCTTCGCTTTATATAGGTATTTTGTTTACTTTATAAGGAATTATTGCATTTCCAGGGTGTGGTCATGTGGCGTTTGTAAACAGTATGTTTAACTAGCGGTGAAAGATCGGTGATTTGAATCCCGGCAAAGACATAGTCACTTTTCACGTTTTCTCGCATCGAAGAGACTAGTAGTCTTTATAGTTTGACGAGATTTGGTAATTAGATATATGGATCAACCAGAATCCTATCATTTGTAACAATTATAAGCATTTAAATAACAATTATAAGCATTTAAACAACAATTATAAGCATTTAAACAACAATTATAAGCATTTAAACAACAATTATAAACATTTAAACAACAATTATAAGCATTTAAACAACAATTATAAGCATTTAAACAAGATGCATACACATTCTTACTATTCATAAGAGGCTTATTATTAGACGAAAGAATTATATTTCATTTTCTTTGCTTACCACAAGTCATATTTTCAGACAGAGCGCTTTCTTCTAGTCCAAATAACTTCTTTCCCAAAGAATCAACGCAAATGCTTCTGAAAGCAAAATTATACTTTAATAGGATATTAATGTATTATGTCTTTAATAAAATACCGTTTTCTGATATTTTCAAATGTGATTTTTAATTAAATAGTGTCATAAATTTTATAACGAATATACCCCGTTATTAATTTTTATTCAGTATTAATAATACGCAGTTTCATCTACCAAATCAGTTTCTACTCTTTACTTTTTCTTCTTTTGCTGCTTGGCTTTGAAGAATCCTTGATGATCACATTCCGGAACCGAAATATCGCTAGCATAAATATCTTCTTTCTTTCTGCTTTCGATGTATTGGCGCTGCAACAAACAGCTAAATCTCCCTTCATCTGAAAATAAAAAAATAAAAATTGGAAGAGGTGCTTTTTCGAAAATTTTATATTTTGAATGTAAATAACCATTGCTAGCTTTATTTTAAGTGACTGAAAGTTGTTTGTTTAAGATTAATATTTTACCCGTTTTTCATCTGATGGCATTCCTGAGGAAGCGTTGGCCCACCAGCGGCCGAGCGGTAAGCTCGCTGAACACGGGTAGTTCGGTCCGAGGTTCGAATCCCGCGAACGGGCTGGCTGCATGGGTGTTTTCGTGGTTTTCCCCATGTGTAACGGGTATACAAGCCAGTTTCCCTTAGACAGTCCTCCACGAAGTTATCCCTCCCCTTAGGCAGATAACCCTCGAGGCTTTGCCGTAATTAAATAACCTAACCTAACCTGAGGGAGCGTTAATGTGCCCCAAAATTTTGCAGCTATTCGGAGTAAGATACGAAAATGCAATGGAGAAATCGAAAGAAATATGAAATTGTGTTCTGAGATTATGAAATGCACTGAATAATGTGCCACGAACATAGAAGGCTGACAACCACAGCTTTATATACTTTCATTTTAGAGCTACGAAAGTCTTCGAGCGACTATCAATTATAGGAGTTAGCAAAAATTATTCAAATCATCAGTTCGAACTATCGGAAATTCAGAAAATCAACTCTTTACAATAAGGATATTCCTAACTTTGTTGAAGTTAATAATAACTTCCAGTTCTTGACTTTAACAAAATAAAAATTCAATATTCTTCACAGTTACTTTATGACACAGAATGGAGGGAAACACTAACCCATGAATAAAAATAATCTGAGGTTAGGTTAATCTATTACATCAAAGCAACTCGAGGGAGGGATAGCTTCGTGGAGGAACGTTTAAGGGACCTGGCTCGTATCCACGTTACACATAAGGAAATCACGATAACCAATCATGCAGCCAGCCCGTTCGTCGGGATTCGAACCCAGGTCGAACTATCACTATTCAGAAACTTTATTACTCAACCACCCGCTGGTGGCCCGAATGAGGGACAGACATAAAAGTAAAATTACCTACTCATGTTATTGATTATAAATTTGCAATTAAAATTGTTCCAGCTATCTGAAAAGGATTAATTGACACCTGAAGACAAATTCTACAAAGGGTAATAAATTAGAAAAGTAATAAATTAGTATTCTTACATTTTAGGAATATTTTATGTTATGGGAAATTGAGAAGAACCTGGGCACAAGTATCAGAGCAATCTAAGTGATCAAAATCCTCACAGTTTCCCGTAGAACAGCCTCCTCTACGGCTGGTGTGTATGCAGTACGTTGCCGACCGATGTAACTGCTTACTCAAAAAACTCCAGCCTCACTTAATCTGCATTGCAATTGTCTAAACCATCAGTCGTCAACCCTTAGAGCTTCACGAACCACTTCATATATAATTTTATATTTGGCGGACCACTAATATGAATTTAAAAAAAAGGTAAATACATTTATACATTAATAATCAGAAAACTACACATATTTCCTTCACATTGAAAAATTACATGAAAAGTACAAAAATCTTACTCTTCTTGTACAGAAAGCTTCACATTTCCATATCACTGAAAAGGAACTTTTCAGTGATATGGAAATCACTGAAAAGAAACAAATCGGCAAAGCAAAGCAATATCAATAAACTGATAGTGTTATGCCTCCAATTTTTTATTATTGTAAACATAATAATCATCGCTTACTCAACAATGGCGCCATCGATCAGCAGTTAGACGAAACAAAAACGGAAACTTCCAGTGATGCAATTATAAACAAGAATGCAGATGGTTCTCATAAAAATTCATCAAGTTGCCTATTGACACGGAGAAAAACTGTGTCATTAACGACTACAATAGCATATGTTTGTAATTCAAAAGGAAAGAGAATTCCAGTTCGCGCTAATATTGATAACAGCAGCATATCGCTGGATGCCAACTCTCACTTTCAAATGCCGCTAAATACACCTGCAAAAGGAGCTAAAAAGTACCTAAATTCAGAAGAAATTTTGCTAAAAGTAGTAGCTAAAATTTAAAAGAAAAAGTATAACCCGTATTCTGTAATAGGTTTTATTACTCGTCATTTTTTAACCTGAATCTTCATAAAAATATACATAATGTCCCAATTTATCTGTGGAGCAGCAAAAAGTTATCATGGACCGACTGCTGGTCTAAACAATGAATACCTTGGCAGATATCTGTTTGAAAAGCGCTGTCAATGTATATGTCTCCCGGTTTGTCCATTTGCATTCCATGGTCCATTAACATAATGCATATTAGCTAGTTTCTGATTACTGGATCGAAAATTCTTATCCAACGTCTCGCCTGATATGATACCACAATCCAACACATTACAAACATCGCCCTCTAACTGCTCTTGGTTAGAGACACACAACCGACACTGACATTTTTTAAATAACTCACAGACTTCTAAGGTGACATGTTTTTAATAAAGGCTAAGTGTAGGGTTTCAAAGATTTAATACTAAGAAATCAACCGAAGGTGTTCAATAATTATCTTACCGCTAAAGCTTTTCTCCACCAGTCAAATTCCGTTTAAGCTTAACCATGCATAATTCCGAAACAAATTTAAGAATCACAGGTTATTAGACTTTGATCTTTTTTCAGGCCGGAAAGGGCTGCTAGCTGGTAATGTTTCTAAGTTACAAAAATGTGAAACACTGTTCGAAGACTGGCTTGGGATGGAAGGAGGCATAACACTGGTAAATATTCACGAACGTACGGGTTTTGGTCTATAGCCACCGCGTTACTTGAAAATGGTCTTAGAAAAAGCGTCGTGAGGACGTGAACAATGAAGAAATGCGTACGAAGGGCGAGAAACATGTGATAAAAATGATCCAGATTGCAACAGAAACTGATCGCTGGAAAATTGCTTTCGTGGAAAACTAATATGTTGAGGTATGCGTCATGGATACCTCCAGTGTATGACGCAAGAAATTTAACAAACGCCGTGTTGATTGTACTCGAGATGCATGCTACTCTTTACAACAAGTGCAAATAAAGGTAATTTTTATTCACGGGTAGTGAGAGCAGATGAAACGCAGATTCATCACTGTGATCAATGATGCTTCATCCCAATAACTTCAGAACACAGAAATTTGCTGGCAGCGTTTAAGCAGTACTTTTTGGGATGAAGAAGATCTTTTCTCATTTACAGTTTGGAGTTTATATCACGATAACAGTGTTTATTTTAACACATGTAGCCCTAGCTCACAAAGACCGAGAAAAACGCTTTTGCAAACCAAGCAGAAAAGCATTGTTTTTATTTGACAATGTATCTATAAGCAATATTTAAGTTACTCTGTTCAGTCTCCGACCGTAACGACCACTACTCCCTCACCAACCGTATTCACTACCCGGAGGTTCAAGTGGCTTTTTATACTTAAAAAATCAGAAGTTGCTTCCTTTGCAACAGTCCGCCAGCGGCCGAGCGGTAAAGTGGCTGAGCGCTGGTAGTTCGATTCGAGTTTCGAATCCCGCGAACGGGCTGGCTGCATGGGCGTTTTCGTGGTTTCGATCATGTGTAACGCGTATAGGAGCCAGTTTCCCTTAGAAAGTCCTCCAGGAAGGCGTCCCTGCTTAGTCACATAGCCCTCGAGTGCTTTGCCATAATCAAATAAACCAAATCAAACCAAACTTCTTTTGAAACAATGACGATGGCAAGCAAGACTTTGTTTAGGAATACTTTGAAGGTTACGAAAATGACAGTTTCTTCTGGAACTCGAGGCCTAATTGTCAGAAGTACTAAGTGACTTGCAGTCAAAGAAAAATTACATAGAAAAATCCAAAAGTCATTCTGGATATTTATGTCTGGTATGTATGTATTTATTCTAGATATAAGTATGCAAGAACCAGTTATTTTAAATTACGAATCTATACTGTCATTCCTCTTTTCCCATTTTCCTGCCAGAATGCAAATTTAGCTCGCTTGTATTTAAGTGACGGTTTGAGATTTTTTTTGTCAAAGCGTGTTTTGCTGCTGAATACCGCGTTACTAGTTGTTCTACGATAAGCATTTCCTGTCTACGTCATTGCTTTATTACTGCCGATTAGTGCTGTCAGTAGTGTCTATATTTTTAACAAAAGTTAAAGTTAAAAAAGTTTTTAACAAAAGTTAAAGTTAAAAGTTAAAAAAGTTTTTAACAAAAGTTAAAGTTTTAACAAAAATTTTAGGTTAGAAGTTCTTCACGAAGCACAAAGACATAAAGACGTGTAGCCCTGATGCGCTTTGTTTTAACCAAGTAACCAACCAATCATACAGGTAAATAAAATTGTAGCTGATTATATGATTTAACCCCACAGGTTGTCTTAGCTATTCAGCTCCTTAGTAGCTTATGTGGGAATTAAATAATCTACTGTTACTGTTGTTAGTTAAGGACAAAGATTTTACTTGATCGAAATGCATGAATTGTACTTGTACTTTCCCATTCTATGGCAAAAGTAGTAACACAAATATTATTTTTTTCATTTCAAAAATCAAAACGAAAAACACTATCAGAACTTTAACATCGTAGATAACGAATTAATTGCAACAAGTATGCTGAAGTTGGTTTCAAACATACCATTTCAGAATACTCAAGTGAGGATTAGACGCAATGAACCGTTATATTCTGGCATATAAATTCTGGGATTTTGTCTTTATTAGCTTCAGATTTATCCTTTTCATATAAAACTACCTTGACTTAAACTAATATAAATGAAAGCATGAACTGCCTCCAATCGTAAAAGAATATTTACGTAAAATCCTTTAGCTATTTTAATGATAGACAGAGGAGAAAGGAAGCATTAAAAAAAGACATCACTGCAAAAATAACCAGATAAATTCAAAAACCGTTGAAAAATGTGTTTCTGGCAAGGTCATTTTTCTCATCTCCACTTTGCATATTACATGTGATAGAAGAGAAATGTAGGCAATATCTCATGCTCAAAATTGGTGTAATTTTTACGACGGGAATAGGTCATAATTTGAAATCGAGCACAAAAATTTTCAGAAGGTAATGTCGAGGAAAAACATTGTGTATTACTGATAAATTCGTTATGTTATTAATTAGACTGCTCGACTTAGGAGCTTTAATTACTTAATCAATCACTGCGTCGTTAGTAAGGCAACGTACTTGCTGCTTTATTTATTAGGGAATATTAAATGGATAACCTGTTCTTAAAGAATCGAGATTTTTTCTGCATTTAAAACTTACAGTTCATTTAGACGTTTATAATGAAGCAATATTATTACATAAGGCAAGAAAATTTAATACTATGTTTTCAAAAATTCACTCATGACTGAAAATTTATCATTGTTCTTGACGTATTTCGAGGTTTAAGAAAATATCTCTCATTGTTGCTTGAGCAGTATATTTTGTAAAAGCATTACCTAAAACACATTTTCCTTCAAAGCATTTTAATCCATGTTGACACTGAGGTGTTGCAATGTTTTCCAGAGGTTTAGGCAACGGCTCTTCACATGTTTCACCTTGCCCTTGGGGAAGAAAAAAAATTTATATACATTGCATCAGATAATACAAAATGTTTTGATACTATGTCACGCAGAATGTTTCTACATTTCAATTTTTTCATTAATGAATTCACTTATTACAGATTACAACAAGTTTAGTATTTCACAATTTATTAATTACATAGAAAAATGCGCAAAAATAGCTGATGATGTGATAATTTTTACCGCCAGCGTATGTGTAAAGGCATATATGCACTGGTGTTCAAAATTAAATTTGCATGCACAAAAATACTGATTTCTCAAAAACCGATATATAAAGTTGATTTAGTTCGGGATGATACATAGTTTCCCTACAACACTATTTCTTCAAATACTGTTGAATTAAACTGAATGAATTTATCTGGGATATTACATAGTACGTCATACAAATACGCCCTGAAAACACTGAATAAGTATGTCAACAACAGAAAGTTATAACAAACAAATTCGAAACGCTATGGGATGACGGAAGTTTAGGAAAAGTGTATATCTCCAAACCAAATGCGGACTTTTTATATTAATAACTTTTCTTAGCTGAGCAAAAGGTTAAAATTATATTAAAAAGTTATTAGAAATATAATTCTAAAGAATATTTTTTTGGGTATTTTGGAGTAGGGATATTGCTTAAATTTATTTTTATTTTCATTACTTAGAACTCGAAACACTGATAAATGCGGATTCTTCTTTAGTATTACATCAGGTTTAACACATAGGTAATTTATTAATAATATTCATCATTATTGGAACTCAAACTAAACACTAATAGACTAGACGGAAACGTAGTAGACGGAAACGTTCGGCAAGCTCATGAAATTTGGGCTCTTGGATATTCCACGTACCGTTCTTCTGATCAGGGATAATTTAATATTTTATTGATTTTTCTAATAGAATTGGGGTTATTGTAATTTTGCAGTTTCTCCAGTATGCTAAAAATGAACTTTGTTGCTGTTGGTCATCAGTTGATGTATATAGTATTATATTTTTAAATAAAAATTTTGGGATGAAATATTCTTTCTCTAAGCATGTTTTCCTGTTCAATCTTTCCCTACCAACAATATTCATATTTAGTTGCTTAATTTCTAAATTGCAACCTCTGGAGATGATATAACTATATTCTTCGGTAGACTCACATCTCTACCATATCCAGCCCTTTCAGATTAGGTTGATTGCTAGTACAGGAGATGTTAAAGACGCTCATGATTTACATAAGTGTTGCAGTGTTACTAATTTGCCTGTCATGAAGCTATTTACGCAAATTTCAAATCTACTGGATGCTTCCTTTATGGTGTTCCGTTTTAGACGGCACAGTTTATTTAAAGACATTATAATATCGCAGAACGTCAATTACTATACGGTGAATTTACAATAACTATACTGTGTTTTTCAAGTGCTTTTCTAAGCGAAACTTAAAATAATAAAATAGCTAATTTTTCTGGTCTTTAGCACAAACTATATGTGAAAGTTCTAAATGAAACTTGAAAAAAAAAAAAAAAAAAAAAAAAAAAAAAAAAAAAAAAAAAACCTGAAAAGAAAAGCCGAAAGATTTATTTTATTCGTCCATTGTGTCACAAGAGTAAGAAAATGTCTGATGGACACCGCATGTGGGTGATTCAAAAGATCGTACGACATTTCTCCTATTGCAATTTTTTTCCTAATGGTTATCAGATTAATCTTTCTTGCTAACAATCCCAACCTGAATTCGTAATTAGATTTTCTTCTTCAGACGTATAGTTGTTTAGTCACTGATAATGTGTTTTTCCCACGCATGTGGCTTTATTTGGCCATTTTGTGAAAGCAGACATTGATCTAGACTTTCAAGCTTCAAAGATAATCGTATTATTCCCTCCCAGGAAAATATGTCTTATTTAAATACTGCCATGTAGCACTTACATTGATTTCTATATAACAGATGAAGCTCATATATTACTTTGTAAGGTTATTTTCTCTTTCCTTTCCGCATGCCTTGGTGGTATAATTGGAAGCACACTCGACGCGTATTCGAGAGATCAAGGGTTCGAGTCCCGGCGAGGCCTTGAACATTTTTCGCGTCACCTGCTTCAAAATAACCTAAAATTCTACAGTATCATCCAAACTAAAAAGATGGTGGATGATAATTTGTCACACTAGGATTTGGCGATTGGATCCCCTAACACCCAGTCGCCCTTT